TGTCACCTCCCAAAAGAGTGGGCAGCCCAGGACTTAAATACTGCTTTTCGGCCCTACACCTAGCTGATGTGGGACTATTTGTCCGTGACATTCTCCTCCACCCAATCACGTGACGCCCTCGTCACGGATCGGCTCCACCGAGGGTCCCACTGGACCATGGAGAGTCCACACACCTGGCAGACAGTAGTCTGCTCTGATACCACTTGTCACCTCCCAAAAGAGCCCTTGTGGGTGGTGGGCAGCCCAGGACTTAGATATTGTTTTTCGGCCCTACAGCTAGCCGATATGGGACTATTTGTCCGTGACAGTATGCTCTTGACAATGTGTTGGTAAAAATAAACTATTTTCTCAAGTGATAAAGTTAATCTCACAGCTTAATATGTCTCATTTCTTAAAATAAAAACTAGCGGCATTTACATAAATGGCACAGAATTTTTACGTATTTACATATCTCACACCTAAACTTTTATATCACTTCTTATAATGAAATAATCATTTTCATGCATATGTTTAAAATATCAAAATGCCATGTATGTATAAACATCTTTTTGTTACATGAAGTATGTCTTGTATGCAATGCAGTTTCTTCTTCGACAACAATATGTTGTCCTTTGCTGCTATTATTTTTGGATTGAATCTTTCAGCCAGTGTACAAAAATTATAGTGACTCTTAACATTTCTAGTTTTACTGCTAAGATGATAATTTTAAAAAGGATCTTTTTAGAATATTATAATATGTTAAGCTATACTAAATAGGAATGAATAGAAACTGAGACTTCATGTAACTAACACCAAATAGTGGGCAAAAAGTTTTTTAGTTTTTTAGAATATTCATGATGGAAGAGAGATTTTTTAGCATTTTAGCTTTGCATGAAGATCTGATTCACACACATGAAAGAAAAGCCGTAAGTGACCCAATTATTTTTATGTGAAACTTTCAAAAAGGAAGCAATCACTAGGCCTTGCCCAACTGAATTGATTCCACTAGTGTATGTCTTCACTTACAAATGATGCATTCCCCATAATATGGGGAAGTGTTGATATTATACAGTAGATTAAGTTGTAAATAATAGATTTCATGATGAAATTTGGTAGAAGCATGAGGCATTGAATTCGTCTTCAAAAGGCCTTTTGTGGTCTGCTCTGACTTTCTCCTTTGAGTAGGGATGATTAGAGGCCAAGAAGTTTAGTATAATTATTGGTTTTGACATTAGGGGTCGTGGATGGTGTAAATGACACATGTTAGTTTTATTTGTGACAGGGTGCCATTAAGTCAGTTGTTGTTGATATTGGTATCAACGGCAAGTATAAGTCTTATTAATGATGCATATGTTGACGATGTGCTATTCTTATAAACAATGTCCTGTCGATGGTGTGCATTGGTTTTATAGGAGACAATGGTCAGGAAACTGTATGCGATGGTTGTAGAGCAATAACTGTTAAATGATTGCAGTCAGACGATTGTGGTCGGGTGATGATTTTCAAATGATTGTAGTTAAGTGATAATGTTTAGTGGATTGTAATTAGATGATGGTTAGGAGATCATAGTTGGGAAACGACAATCAAATTGTAGTTCGGTGATAGTGGTCAAATAGTTTTAGTCGGGCGAATATTGTCAGGTTATTGTAGCTGGGCGATGGTCGTGTGGTGGCTCGAAGATCAGACGGTGGTGGTTCAATGACAGAGGTTGAGTGTTGGTAGTTTGACAAGAGTTGCGCTTGACAGTCCAACAACAATGTTTTTGTGGTGGTAGTTGAATGGCAAAGGTTGTGTGTCGGTGGTTCCATGACAAAGGTTGGGTTGAGGCGATACATTGACAAATGGTGGGGCTACAATGATTCAAAGGCAAAGGTTGGGTACCAAGAGTCTAATTGTGGTTATCAGTAGGCTGCAATACGATGGTAATGGTCGGGTGACAGTGGTTTGATGGCAACAATCAACTATCAACGATTTGTAGTTGGTGTTTGGGTGATGGTGTGATTAGATGGCAAAGTTCAAGAGTTAGAGGTATGATGACAGTGGTTTGGTCGTGGCAGCGAACGGCGACTGTCATGTGATAGTTTGATGGTGGTGATCGGGTGGTAGTTCGAAGGTTAAGCGGCAACGATCCTATGACAACAATCAAGGGGCGATGATAGTTTTGACAATGGCAGTCAAGCAACAACAATCTAACGGTGATGGTCGGGTGACAGTGGTTTGACTACAACAATTTGATGGCGAAGGTTGGGCCACATTGGTCGGTCCGCTGAGGTCATGTGATGATGGTTTGATGGCGGACATTGAAAGATGGTTATGTGGTTGTGGTCCATTTGTGGAATGTGTGAAGGTCGAGCTATGGTGGTTCGAAGGGATTACTCTAACAGTAGAATTTGAGTAGAGGTCTAGGATTCTTCGAACTCTCGAGCTCTCTCAAATTTTTAGTTTAGCTCCCTTTTATATCGAAAATGATAGTCTATTTATAGATTTTTAAAGCAACAATATTTTTGGCAAAATCGTAAAATACTTCATCAAAGGACACGGGACGACATATTTTTATGATATGACTTCTTTTCAATTTTGGGTTGCTTAATAATGTCACAATTAAGTGAGTTTTGACTTTTTACATTTATCTCGTTGACAAATTTGACTTAATTATAATTATACAACATTATATTGCTATGCAATTCGTGCCCGATCAAATAGATTTTTAGCTGACATATCGCAATGTGTATTAGTTTATCAGCATGATAACTCTTTTTAATCTCTTTTGGTTTAACAGCAGAGATCTTGCATTATGTTCTTTATTCCTTAGAACATTTCTTGTGTCAACCTGTATATTCATTCATGCTTATTATTTATCAATGACTCGTAGTACCTTTTTCAAATTTTAACTATCAGCTTGTTGATAGTGATCCTGTAAAGAACACCAAGTTAACAATTACATGATCTTGTCATCAAATTACAATAATATTTTATATGTTATTTACCTACGCTCTTGTTCATTGAACCAGTATAACAATAATAATTCTTAAACCACCACCATCACTGAGTCAATACATCAGCACAGATGATCGGACGGCTGTGGGAAAACAGACCTCCTACCTACTGTTCTGGGTCCCAAGCTTCACGGACCGCTGTGATCTAATAATGATCATGGAAGATGAAATGTACGAGAGAAGACAATATGAACAATGTTTGCGGTCTTCAATATAATCCTTTTATATTGTTCTATCCCATGTTCTTCATCACTTGCACATGTCATCATTATTTTATTTTTCTTTTCTAATCATTTGCTATTTTCTGACTGGCCCTTCTTTTTACATATGATTATGGGTCCCTTTTTTACACTTTTTTCTGAACTTAATTTTAGTGAATAATGGGCATCAGGGAGTTTTTTTTTCAATTTTTTTTTGCATATTCTGCCTTTCTTACATGTATTTTTAGTTTGTGAGATTTGCATACAATAACATTTAAAGCATTAGGATTTACATGTTGTGTAATGCCTAAAATTCATTATTTACATATATAATATTCAAAACTTAAAAAAAAATAAAAGATTTGCATACAATAACATTTAAAGCATTAGGATTTGCATGTTGTGTAATACCTAAACATCATTGTTTAAATATATAATATTCAAAACTTAAAAAAAAATAAAAACTCCTAGCCAAACTATTCGTCATGGCGCTGCTTGATCCCATGATATGATATCAATAGTAAAATTTTGAAGTTAAATATGCAAATTCTAACATTTTGAGTTCTTAGGGTATACACATCTCCCTTTTTGGTTTTTAATGCTACATTTCTCTTTTGCATGTTCTCTTCATCTCTGTTGTTGGGGAGTTTTGTCCCAATAGTCATGGCTAAGCCTCAAGCAAAATGCAAATGGAATTATTAAGGTATATGAGAATATTGCTTTGATACTACATCTTGTAAGAGAGAAAAAATTATGATTTAGAAATACTAGGTGGGGTTATTCAAACGTTCGATTCAGTTAGATTAGTTGAAAAGTTTATTTAACCAATCAAACCAAATCAA